TCAATTTCTCCATAACTCCAGGTCTATGAACGCAACACTTAATCACAGACTCTCACATTGAGAGGCATTGGGGAGAATCTCATACATCTCACAAAGGCTCTAGCAACCACCAGGAGGTCAGCAACCTCTCCAAGGGCCGTGGGATGGGTATATATACCCACACCCCAAAAACTAGCCATTAACCCAACAAAGTGCGGAACTTTAGTTGCACCAAACTTATACATAATTCCATGGACCCTTTCACAACTCTAAAAAATAGCATAGGTCATCGCACGAAAAACACCATAACTCTTATCTCCAAACTATGATTTCGATGATCATGGACTTAGACTTTTCGAAAAGCTTGTTTAGAGGGCTATCCAACCCAATCAAGAACAACCCCCAAGATCAACAAGTGCAAGTGTTGCGCCATTGTTTCTCTCATGTTGGCAGTCGGGGTTTGGTTAGTTTCAGCACTTGTGACTTGTCTAACTATTCGTGCTGCAACCCCTTGGTAGTACAACATACCTATACTACTCAACATCAAAAGGATGTGTCTATTTCAACCACTTGAGTATTTAATGCCTTCATATGCCATTTCTTCTCAGTATATCTTCATAAGGGCTTGCAACCATGTTTGTCTCATTCTTTGAGGAAACCAACCTTGAGCATGTGACTTGAACCATTCCAACACATGACAATTCCATTCATGGCTTCAAGTCACTTCCACATATGATTCAATAATGATTTGATCCTTCACATAGTATGATTCCTCATAGCTTGAGTAGTACGTTGACTCGATCTAAGAACTGTCTTCTTTACCGCAGCCTTGGTCCATCAGCGTCTAATCCCTCACTTGTCCTTTACCCTTGCTTGGTCCTTCAAAGCACTTTTATTGCTATTTTCACCCTCTCAAGCCATCCTCAAGTCACATTATATCATGAACCAACATTTAGCATTCATTTGATGTCTATTTCTTTTGATCACATATATTGACATATATGAATCAACAACAATATGGTCTAGCCAATTCATGATTCCTTATATCCTATATATTCATATTGGCTTCACACACTTCACTTAGTATTCATCTCAATATCTATCTTTGATATCACAACCCTTGCTTGAATATCCTTAGTTATATCAATCTTGAGATCATTCAATCTTCACCACTTCTCTTTTGATAAATATAAACGCTATCATCAACATACTTGACTTCCTTTAGGAAGCTTTCCATACGAGACCAATCCATATGCAACCACTCATGTCTCATTATAATTCTCACCTTGGCTTGCTATTTCTGTAATGCCATTATTGTTGATATTCATTCTTCATACTTCTAGCTTGATCATTATCAATGCACAGTGACTTTCCAAGTCTTCATCATCCATATAGGCAAACCAATATTGAGACCATCTTATATCCAATATATATTGTCTCTTTTCTCTTTTGACCTTTCGTCGACATACCTTGACTCATGCATTCTTGACTCATCCTTCAATAATTGATCAATAACAATCAACTTATCAATCTCTTCTCATCCATGAAAAGCAAGCCACTATTTGAAACCAAACTATATTCATTCCTCTTTATCTCTTTTTGCCTTATCACATATGCTTGCTTCTTCTTCATTTAATACATGATATGAGTTGGATTTCATTGGTCTTCCTCTTCATTAGTGATGTCCCCAAACATCACCTTCATGTCATCTTCATTTTGGAGAGGCCTCTTCTTGAACTTCCCAACTCCAAGGATTTCCTGCATCAATTGTCAAGGTAAGAACAAATATACATGGCATTGTAAAATAAACAAATTTACATGGCATTGTAACCAGACACTCACATTTTTAATCTTGTTCCACCACTCAGGTTCCATGTTGATGGTTCCTTTGTTCCAGTTCCAATCAACACCAGTTTGCCTCCTTAGTAATTTCCTCCATGCAGTCACATCACCCCTATCTGATACCTCGGTGAAGCCTAGTATGTTCAAATAGGTTCCCTTCTCTAACTTGTGTGGCACTCATCATTCCAATCAATATATAGCATCACCCTAACCATGATTCGCACAACATTTTTTGTAGTTCTAAACCATGAATTCCACAAACAAAATGCATGAGATGTTCATACGTCATCCTCCTTGGCCCTCTTTTTTGTAGCCGGAGCACGTCTTCTACCTTGAGATGCAGGTACTAGGGGAAAGACATGGCTTTGCTCAGCCTCGCTGTTCCAATCCGTGGCACCGATAGTCTTTGTCATTGCATCCCAAGCTGCAAGGCTGAGCAGGGAGCCCGCGCTCCCACCCACGCCAGGAAGGGAGGCCGAGCCCCCACCCACGCCGGGCTAGGAGGATGTGCCACCACTCCTCGGAGAAGGGAAAAGCGTCGGAGGAGGTCCACCGCCAGCGAAATGAGCTGACAAAGACTTCGAGATCCCAACCCTAGGAACTATTTTTTCCATGGGAATAAAGCAAGAAAGGGGTGGGGGAGGTTGAGGAGGGTACTACACCATGACACACATTTGCCTACAGTTATCTGTTGGCAAAAGGTGGGTTTCAACTACACATTAAGTGTTGGCAATTGTCTAACTTTTTAACATCAAATTATATGTCGGCAATAAGGTTATAGGACCACATGTTATCTGTCGGTGTTTCTCTAATGGCTAAAAAACTGTTGGCGAAAATTTCTAGACTGCATAAGCGTCGTTGTTGCCTAAGGGGAACCACCATACAAGTGTCGGCGAAGGAGTACCATGGGTGTAGGATGGCCCGTAAAAATTCATCTCGCGCCAAAGCTGGACCGAAATATTGAGACCCGCGCGCGGCCGCGCTGAAAATGTCGCTCCCCGCACAGGGACAGAAAACTCTTTCCCACTGACATGGCCTGCACAAAAAAGAAAGAAAGAAAATCCCCACGCCCGTTGCCCCCAATCTTCCGCCGCCCCCATGTCCTCGAACCCCGCGCCGCTGCCCCTACCGTCCGCAGCCCTCACCGTCTGCCGCTGGGGATGGTGGCCGAAGGCAACCCCCGTGTGGATCTCGCCTGTGCAGCAGCCTGCGCTAGATCTGGGAGGGCGTCCCTCGCCCTCGCCGCCTCGCGTGGCTGAGTCCGCCGGACGCCGCAGCCAACGATGCGCCACCATGTCGTTGCCGTCGGAGTTGCGTGCGCGGCTGCCAGCGCCAGATCTGGCCACGCCTCCCTCGACCTGGATGAGAAGGTCCTTCGCCGCGTTCCTAGCAGCTGATGTACATACGTCTGGTGGCCTGCTCCAGCGGTGGCAAGGCAGTGTGACAGGCACCAGCGGTGGAGTGACTCGTCCACCCATGAGGATGACGCAGTTGCTGTCTCAGTCTCATGCACCAGGCAGCCATAGCGAACACGGAACCAAGAAGAGGGTCGTCCACGCCAAGCAACGGTGAGGCTATCCTTGATCTGATTTTTTCCCCCTTCTGTTCTCAGTAAACGTGATTCCAGGGGAGAAATAGACTGAGGCTTATTTGACAGTATGGTAATAAAACGTGCCTTTCTTTTCATAGGACAATAGGTTCATATATTTCGAGTTGTGATGTTCATGTATATGAGTACACAACAGTGCTAAAACGTTCAAAGATCATTCTAGTTGGTAGGAAACTTAATGGAAATTCATTATATCTGCCCTGCGAGCTGAATTTTTAGGGCTTCCAAACCACCTAGAAATTAGTTACAGATTCTAGATTACTGTTTGGTGATATTGGAACTAGAACTCTATTCTAGCTTGTAGCTCTTCAAGTCATTTGAAGAAACAGTAGTTTAGCAAGGCCTAGATTTTTGTTTATTGAACCAATTTTGAAATTGGAAAATTTATGCAATAAAAAATTTAAAATGGAGAATGTAAAGAGGCAGCAGGTTAGTTTAGCTATACAGGCATGCCATTGCAAACACATAATTGCAGTGAAGCATCAAATGTAATCAAAACCTGTACGATAAACATTCTGTAGCTTACCTATGCCAATGATCATAATATTTCGGTCGCATAAAGTGTCGGGGATTCTGTTAATTGTCAGCAAAAGTTTCACCGACGGCTTCTAGCGCGACTATTTCTAAACTGTCGGCAAAACTTTTCGCGGGAGGTTCTCTATCGGCAAAGGTTGCCTACAATAGAAAGTGTCGGCAAAAGTATGTTGTGTTATAGTGGGGCCAGATCTACCTCCTCTTGCCATCACCGACGATGGTGGAGGATGGTCGTTGATGGAGAGGTTGCGGGCGGCGCGGCTCCCTGGCCACGCGTGCTCTGTTGCAGGGGACAGAGAATGAGCGTTGAAAGGAGGGCGATGGGAAACAGAAGTGAAAAAACAGTGAACCGGTACGTGCTTGAGTTGTGTAATGGATGGGAGTGGTGGGTAATTATCCCCCAACTTCATGAGGATGTACGAAACCTGCGTTTTCAAAGCACCCTTGAGGTGCTCCATGGAATCCATGAATCTAGCCCCGAAATCCAGATTTTGTGACTTTAGATCCCATGGAGAAGAGGTGTTTGGGTAAAAAAAAAAAAGGGATCTAGAGCTGCTTTTAGTGGATAATGAAGCAATTGGAGCTGTCCCAAACAAGCCCTTAGATAAGACCTCACTATCTTGGTTTCTAACGTCTCCGGCGGCTATTGGTGCCACTCCTTTCGTTGATCTCCCATTATAAATACCAGGCCCCTGCTGCAGTCCACTTGCAAACCAGCAGCAAGCATCCCAACATAGACACTAGCAGTAATTAGAAGCTGTGAAGTGTGGACTGCACGTGATTTCTACCAAGTGAATTAGACACCCTCGTTGCTACTGCTACTAGCTGAAGCACAGGGTGCGCCCTCAGTTTTTTTCCTCGTTTACTTGAATGTACACATAAGTGTCTTACTGTTATCTCTTTTTTCTTCCTTCATTTCTTTTGGGCTGACTGTTCTCTCTTTATGTTCTTCCTTGGCATCCATATACAGGTTTCACTTGAAAAATCAAACACTACTATGCCTTCCCAAAGCAGCGTGGTGCTGAAGAGGAGCACGATGGCAGCTACAACTTGCTGCTTGCTGCTGGTATGCTTGGTTGCCGGACAGCTGCTTGCGATGGCTGAGGCAAAGGAGAATGCTCACCATCACCAGAAGCTGCTGGCGGCGGCGCCTACACCATCGTCGCCGGCCGGACTTCCGACTGACCCCAAGCTGATCAGTCCCTGCGCTTTCTGCTATGCTTATAGCTGCCCCAGTGACTGCAAGGGAATATGCGGTTGCCACTGAATCATATCTCAAGCGCGATATATTTGCTGCTGATCTCAAATAAACAACCCGTGGATCGGGCACATTGAAGGCACAGTTTGTTTTAAAAACCTATATATCATGCAGTGTATGGACGTGTTTTCTTTAGCTTAAAATCGAAATTTTATGAAGGAAGAAAGGAAATTGAGAATACCGGTTGGTTGCTCCCGTTTCTACTAGGGATTGAGGGGTTACTTTTCTCAGTTGAGAAAAACATTTAGAAAAAGAGTATTGGAAATGGAATCTTCTGGAGTTTTTTTTTTACTTCAATCCCCTTCATCAATGGTTATAGGGAAGGGGGCTAGTTATTCTCAATCTGGTGAAGATGCTCTAAGAAAAATGCTTATTGCTTATGTTGAACGGTAGTAGAGCATAGAACAAATCAGGCCAGAGAGGTGAGGATGCGCGATTGCAATAGAAAAATATAAACACAGTTTTGGAGGTGAGGGAGACTCATGTCGTCTTTGTAAGGGCTTTTGTAGGCGTTTCTTCATCGGCATAATTAAAAGAGGCAGCTCAATCTACAGCCATATCTAGAAATGTACCTGTAGAGGCGGCTGCTATTATCAAATGCCTTTACAAATGTCCCTTTTTTTTAGATGCGGCTCTAGATCCAGTCATCAGAATTTGTAATGGTGGTTGGATCTAGAGTTGTCTCTAAAAATCAATTTGTAGAGATAGCAGAATCTAGAGTCATCTCAAAAAATAGGTGTAGCACAGTTAAATTCAAAATTTTAAATGACCTCGGATGGAGAAATGACCAAAACCAAAGTTGTAGATCTCAATGATATCTACAATTTTGCAGTTAAAAACTTTTTTATTTGAATTCGTTTAGAGTCACAGATACTTGTTTCAAAATCAGATGAAGATAATACGAGGAGAAAGAATATTTCATATGAACACAATGATGTATGGGTGGAGTGGTTTGAGGAGATACGCATGAGGTTGTTGGACGTGTGCTCAACTTACGACTTCACATGAAATTTTGGCATGCGCATGTGGCTGCCTGGTGGGGTCTACTCAAATTATAATAAAATTTTTCTATTTTTAGACCTAGATTTATGATTTTTAGACAACGATTTGTAGAGGCGCCTTGAAATATAGCCCCACATCGATTTCTAGAGGTGGCTTCTGTTCATGGCCTTTCCTTGATATCTGATTTATAGAGATGGCTGAATATTGTAGAGACGGAAATATAGAGGATTCCTAACCGACTCTACATATCCTCTCATTAGTTGTGAAACGAGTACAGAAGAGAACGGCTTTTGAAGTCGAATAAAAAAAAATAGTGGAGACGAAGTCACTTTGGGGCGAGTAGCCAAAGCCACCAAAACGCGGCTTTTTCTAGCTTCTTCATTTTTGAGAAGTCCTGTCAAAGAGATATCGATGATTGCATAAACCTTGCAGCTTATATATTTTAACGAGCATTTTAACAAGGTAAATTCTAAATTGCTTACTACCATCACTGCTTAAATTCCAATAATTATTTTGGGGTTTTCAAATTTTATAATTTAATAGAGTCGGTTAATTACCCGTTGATTGCAATTTAACACAACTAAATGTAAATGATCTTGGTAGTGAGAATAATATTTATGTATCGAGAAAGTGTAAGCTTATAATATCATGCTACTATATCATCTGATATTAATATTTTTCATAGTATTGTATCAAAGTTAGTACTGTGTATGTTTGGAGAGATCCCGGCCATATTTTATCCTGACTTGGCCCCTATGCGCTGGCCACTCAAGAGACCAAACAAACGAACATGGTTAGGTGGCAATTGCACGTAGCTTTCGTTGACCCAACTCAGATTTATTTATCACTATGCCAGAAAAGCTAATTAGTGACACGTCTAGAGGGTCATCAGTGATGCAGAAAAGACACGTCACCTACGTTGCATCTGTGATGCGGACAAATTAGTGACGCGTAAAAACGTGTCACTGATGTGAAGATACCAGTGACGTGTATTTAATACACGCGTCACTGATCTTAGTATAGTAGCGACACATACTGAGAAAACGCGTCACTGATAATGAGGTATCAGTGACATGTGCAAGGAAACACTACTACATATTGATCTTTCACTATCGTCACTTTCACTGCCGTAGTGATATAAGCGTTCGTGTGATACTTGCACCGTCGGTTGGACCGATAGGGAGGCCTCGCAAGGAATGAAACCGGCAGTTGAAAACCATCAATGCAGCGGTGGTAGTGGGGTTGAATTCCACCGTCGTTTGGAACGCCGAGCCGACTGAGATACGTGTTATGGCCGCCGCACCTACACAGCCGTTTGGTATACTAGTGGTAAATATTGAAGGTGAGTAATTTTTTGTGACTTCAAGGTGAGTAAATGAGAGTGTGTCCCAATGCCCAACTGCCAACAACCCCCGCTGGCCCGCTCTATAATTCTTCAAGGACGCTGCCCTCTGAAACCACCCCTCTTCTATGTTAATTCCATTCTTCCATCAAACTAGCTAGAACCATGTCGGCGGACAGTTTTTTCAAGATTCCCAGCTACGACTCGTCCTCCGACGAGGACGAGGTCTAGCAGCACTCATCATCTAAGGAGGCCTCCAGGGAGTACATGGATCCTGATTTGATTCCTGACAGGAGCTCCGACACCGAGGACGAGGAGGAGGACACCGAGGAGGAGCAGGAGGAGGACGACGACGAGCCCGAGGATGATGACGTCGACTATAGATGGCAACGGGTAGAAAATACCTGCAAACCCGTGGATATGAAACCCGATGGGCATGGATATGGGTCTAACTTTGTGCCCGCGGGCACGGGCGCGGGCGTGACCCTAGACCCAATGGATATTTGCTCATGGGCGTGAAAAATGATATCCGCACCTGCCAGACCCGCTCCAATGTCTGACATGTGGCCCCAACCCCAATACCATGTGTATAAACTCAGAGTCTAGGGTTTCATTTCTGCGGTTCTCCCTCTGCCCACCGCAACGAGTCACTCCCTCTCGGCCTCCCCCGTCCGTGACCCCGTCCCCCATCTCCCCCCGTCCGACTCCCAATCCATTCCAACGCCGCCCCTTGCCGCCGCCTGCACTGCCCCTTCCCGCCGCCCTGCCGCCACCGGCCGGCCCTGGACGCCCGGATCTGCCGCCATCTCCCCCGGCGGCGCCAGCGCTGCCAGCCAGCGCCGAATCCTAAGTCAAATAGGCTTACTAGAACATGTTGTATTCCTAGCATAGCACTTACTACCATAGCACTTGTTTTGCATGTTCTATGTTCCGATTTTTGCACTTGTTTTGCAGTTGCCATGGCTAGTAGCTCGTGTGTGCCAGCCTCCCAAACTTCTGGTGCTGTTGTGGCTGCTACTGGTACTGACGGGGATGATGTTGTGCACATATCAGATGGTGAGGAAGAAGCTCGTACTGTTACTGGTTCAAAGAGGAAGCTCACTTCAAAAGTGTGGAATGACTTTGAGAAGGTGTGTGTTGATGGAGTGTGGAAGGCCAAATGCAATCACTGCGGCAAGAAGCTTTCAGCTGTTTCAAGAAATGGTACAACACATCTAAAAACCCATCTGAAATCTTGCATCTACTTCAAAAAGAAGCCAGGAGATAAAATTCAAACTAATTTAAGATTTGGAACCACTAAAACTGGGTCAGTGAGTGTAGAAAACTATGTGTTTGATCAAGAAGTAGCTAGAAAAGCTCTCTATTCCATGGTCATACTACATGAGTACCCGCTGTCCATTGTTGATCACCATGGCTTTCGTAAGTTTGTTAGTGCACTGCATCCTTTGTTTAAAATGGGCACTCGAAATACTATTAGAAGGGACATCTTGCATTTCTATGAGGGTGAGAAAAGGAAAGCTAGGATATTCTTGCAAAGGACCAATTGTCGTGTCGCTATTACAACTGATCTGTGGACAGCCGATAATCAAAAAAGAGGCTATATGGCAGTAACTGGACATTTCATTGACGACACATGGTCTCTTAAAAGCTGCATTTTGAGGTGACTATCAATTTTTTCATTTTGTTGCTTGCTGTTCAGATTTGAATTTTCTGTAATTTGTGAACCTGTTCAACTGATGTGTGATTCAAATGTGTAGGTTTATGTATGTGCCATGTCCCCATACTGCAGAAGTAATTTGTGATTCATTACACAAGTGTCTCCAAAGCTGGGATATTGATCGGAGGGTGTCAACCATTACCCTTGACAACTGCAGCACCAATGATAGCATGATTGGCTTAATGGAGACAAGGCTTGGTGCAAGTAACATGCTATTGAAAGGGAAATGGCTGCATATGCGTTGCTGCGCGCACATCCTCAACCTCATAGTCAAAGATGGCATGGAAGTCATTGCAACGGCTGTTTCAAACATCCGAGAAAGTATTGCTTATTGGGTTGCTACACCAAAGAGGTATGAAAAGTTTGAGAAAACTGCTCTAGATGAAAATGTTGAATTGGGCAAGAAGTTGCAACTAGATTGCAAAACTAGATGGAACTCAACCTATATCATGCTCAATATTGCTATACCCTATAGGAAGGTTTTTGAACGTTTGGATGAGCTTGATAGGAACTATGTTTGTCCACCACCGGATGATTGGATATTTGCTTCTACAGTTTGTGAGAAATTAGGATTATTCTATGACCTTACTGAGCTGTTTTTTGGAACTAAATATGTGACAGCCAACCTTTTCTTCCCTAAAGTATGTGAGGTTAAATTTAAACTCAATCTTGGGAGCATGATGAACATGATACTATTAGGGACATGTCTACTGTCATGATAGAAAAGTATGACAAGTATTGGACTGATATACATGGTCTTATGGCTATTGTTGTCATTCTTCTTCCACATCTTAAGATGACGATGTTACATGCTTGCTATGTTGCCCTTTTTGGTGAAGAACATGTTGGGTCTTATGTTACAGAGGCCCATCAATTGTTAACTGATTTGATAAAACACTATCATGTCAAAGAGCAAGACTTTGTGGGTACATCATCTAGTTGTGCTTC